AGATAAACCCCAAGCCAGATCGTTCTATTGATAAATATAAAGCAAGGCTGGTAATCAAAGGATTTGCTCAACGAGAGGGTGTTGATTATAATGAGACATTTAGTCCAGCTATATTAAGTATAGCAGCAAGTCCGAACATGTGCCACGCCCAATTTGGTGTGTTAGCGGCGTTTTTATACGGAGAACTGGAAGAAAACATTAACAGCCAGATGGATACTCAGATCAATCTATCATAGTGTGCAAGCTAAAATGAAGTCTTTACGGGTTGAAACAAGCTCCAAGGTGCTGGAATAGGAAATTTGGAAACCTTCTTATGAAAATTGATTTCAAATCTTGCTAGTCTGGTAAATGGTAAAAAAGTTATACTTGTCCTATATGTGGACGATGGACTTGTTGCTGGCACTAGTCAGAAAGAGTTAGAAATATTTTTAATTGAGTTAAAAAGAGAATTCAAAATTATATGTAAAGAAGCTACGTATTTGTTTGGGTCTTGAAATTGAAAGGAATAATGAAGCGATTATGATATCCCAAGAAGCTTTTGCCTAAAACCTATTAAAAAAAATTCAATTTTTATACCCTTCACCACACTGTGGTACAGGGTATTATGTCTTTGTGCATATGTTTGTAACAGGCAAAAATAATCGAGATAGACCCATGGTTCCTTTTGAGAATATGCATAGAATCACTTTCTGAGTCGATTTATGCATGCCCGTCCGTCCGTCCGTCCGTCCGTCTGTCCATGTTAAATTGTAAACAAAGTGCAGGTTTCATTTATGATCCGAATTGGATGAAATTTGGCATAGGTCACTTATTTGGCCCAAGAACGAACCCTATTGAAATTGGGAAAAATCGGTTCAGATTTAGGTATAGCTCCCATATATATATTTAACCGATTTAATGTAAACGGTCCTTATATAACTTTCGATTTGCACGAAATTTGGTACAGCCTAATCATTTAGGTCTTGGCATCATTAGGTCTAGAATGATGCCAAGTTTCGTGAAAATCGGTCTAGATTTAAATATAGCTCCCATATATAGTTTCGTCCGATTTCATGTAAATGGTGTACCAAAGTCCCTATATATCCTTCGATTTGCACGAAATTTGGCATAACGTACTGAATTGAGCCTAGAGTGATGTCTGGCAAGTTTTGAGAAAATCGGTTCAGATTTAGATATACCTTCCATATATAGTTTCGTCCGATTTCATGTAAATGGTGCCCCAAGGTCCCTATATATCTTTCGATTTGCACGAAATTTGGCACATCGTACTGAATGAAGCGTAGAGTGATGTCTGCCAAGTTTTGAGAAAATCGGTCCAGATTTAGATATAGCTCCCATATATAGTTTCGTCCGATTTAATGTAAATAGGGTACCAACGTCCCTATATATCTTTCGATTTGCACGAAATTTGGCATAATGTACTAAATTGAGCCTAGAATGATGTCTGCCAAGTTTCGTGAAAATGGGTCCTGATTTAGATATAGCTCCCATATATAGTTTCGTCCGATTTCATATAAATGGTGCACCAAAGTCTCTATATATCCTTCGATTTGCACGAAATTTGGCATAACGTACTGAAGTGAGCCTAGAGTGATGTCTGCCAAGTTTGAAAAGCCAGATTTATATATAGCTCCCATATATACTTTCGTCCCATTTAAGCAAAATGGTGCACCAAAGTCGCTATATATCTTTCGATTTGCACGAAATTTGGCATAACGTACTGAATTGAGCCTAGAGTGATGTCTGCCAAGTTTTGAGAAAATCGGCCCAGATTTAGATATAGCTCCCATATATAGTTTCGTCCGATTTACTGTAAATAGGGTACCAACGTCCCTATATATCTTTCGATTTGCACGAAATTTGGCATAATGTACTAAATTGAGCCTAGAATGATGTCTGCCAAGTTTCGTGAAAATGGGTCCTGATTTAGATATAGCTCCCATATATAGTTTCGTCCGATTTCATATAAATGGTGCACCAAAGTCTCTATATATCCTTCGATTTGCACGAAATTTGGCATAACGTACTGAAGTGAGCCTAGAGTGATGTCTGCCAAGTTTCAAGAAAATCGGTCCAGATTTATATATAGCTCCCATATATACTTTCGTCCGATTTCATGTAAATGGTGCACCAAAGTCGCTATATATCTTTCGATTTGCACGAAATTTGGCATAACGTACTGAATTGAGCCTAGAGTGATGTCTGCCAAGTTTTGAGAAAATCGGCCCAGATTTAGATATAGCTCCCATATATAGTTTCGTCCGATTTACTGTAAATAGGGTACCAACGTCCCTATATATCTTTCGATTTGCACGAAATTTGGCATAATGTACTAAATTGAGCCTAGAATGATGTCTGCCAAGTTTCGTGAAAATCGGTCCTGATTTAGATATAGCTCCCATATATAGTTTCGTCCGATTTCATATAAATGGTGCACCAAAGTCTCTATATATCCTTCGATTTGCACGAAATTTGGCATAACGTACTTAATTGAGCCTAGAGTGATGTCTGCCTTGTTTCGTGAAAATCGGTGCAGATTTAGATATAGCTCCCTTTTATTATAAATTGATTTTAAGTAATTGACGCACCAAGGAACCAATAGGCTGATAGGAACAAAACGTTTTGAAATTAGTATAACCTAACCTGTGACAAGTTTGTTTGAAATCGCTTAATATTTGGATAGAGCTTCCATATACATTTTCGCCCGATTTCAAGTAAATTGGGCATCAAACTCCTCATGTTAGTCAGATTGACATCAAATTTTGCACAACGTACAAAATTGAGCATAGAATTACGTAGTTACGTTTTGTAGAAGTACAGACATAGCCCAACGGATGACCTATTTATATTTGTTTGAAGTCGATTTACATACTTTATGGATAGATCCAGGTAGATTCACATTTAGATAAATATCACATATTTTATTTCATCCAAGTTCATGTTAATAGTCCTGTTTAATATACCCATAGTGGTGAAGGGTATCATATAGTCGGACCCGTCCGACTTTACTACTTTCCTTACTGGTTCAGAATGCAGAGGCGCATCCACTGCAATTATTAAACAAATGGAATCTTCAAAATCAGGGGAAGAGAAAGAACAGGATGGAAAATTTCCATTCAGGCAAGCTGTAGGAAGTATCATGTATATTATGCTTGGTAGCCATCCTGATTTAGCGTATAGCATCGGATTTTTGTCAAGAACACTGGAGAACTCATCTTCTGAAGACATAGTTCGAGTTAAAAGAGTTCTTAGATATATAGCCGGTACCCTAAACTATGTAATTGCATACAACTGCAAATAAGATCCATAATTACAATGTTTTAATGATGCCGATTTTGGTGGATGTTTAAAAACGGGAAGATCTACATCCGGAATCGTAGTAAAATTTGCTGGCGGAGTAGTATCCTGATTAAGTCAACGACAATCAATGGCAGCTACGTCAACAACCGAAGCTGAAATAGTTGCAGCAACAGAAGCAACCAAAGAAATTATATGGCTATGTCGTTTATATTCAGAGATTATTGGTTACACAGAAAATCCTATATTACAAGTTGATAATTCAGCAGCTGTTAGACTTGCTCAAAATCCTGAATTTCATAAGCGAACAAAGCATATTGCACTTAAACATTTCTTTGTGCGTGAGCAGGTAGTTGAGAGAAAGTTAGACGTCAAGCAAATTGGTACTCAAGAACAACTAACAGATATAATGACAAAACCATTGCCAACCTCCAGGCTGCAGTATCTGCGTGACAAGTTGGGAATTCGAAATGTTAACATCATATAACAGGGGGAAGTGTTGAAGTTCTTAATTTTGTGTTATGTTTTTTTTTAACTTGTTTGTTATAATAGTAGTTGTATAAGTTCGATACGTCCTGACTCAACTTCCCGAGCTCAGTCAATCACGTCTGCTGATTGACACCACGGGCATCTCCTCGGCAAGTTCCCTCAGCAGAGACCGTAGAGTGCAGATGCCACCAAGCGGTGGTTGTTGCTGTTTTGCTCTCCTTGCTTGACCTTTTCTCTCATTGGATTATGTAAATGTAGTAGTAAACGAAAACCGATCCTCTGCGATCACCGCAATCCTCTGTGAACACTTGTCGACTAAACTCCTTCGAGTTAACTCGTTAAATAACGTCTACGCGTTATCAGGCCTCTGTCGCCGCCCCAAATTACAAAGATAATTTTGTTGTATAAGAAAAGAATACCACCAATAAACCAAGACTTTTATTAAGATTATTAAACTAATCATCCTTGTGTTTTATTATTTTTCGAGCTTTCTTTCCTTTACCATACACCATTAACTGCTTGGGAGTTCTCTTGTTGTCGCTTCACCCCGCTCCCAAGAGTTAATTACTTGATCCCCCATCCATCACATCCACGGCGCCTAAACAGTAGTCATGGTAATATTTGTATTTTTCATGTACGTTAAATTTTTCCTACACTTTACTTCAATAAAAACTGTTACAATAATAGAATATGCCGATGATGCAAATACCTTACGTGTATGCAAACATTGTAAAAAGCATTCATCCCAATGTTCGAGTGTTTCGATATTGGCGCCCGCGCAGTTCTACCTGTATTTTGAAGTAGTATTCTAGCAGAAACACGTAAATTTAATGCCAAACAACAAATACAAACTGCACCATTAAAGGTGCGATATTGACAATATTCGGCAGAAGGTATCCGGTCCGATGTCTAAATTTCTGTGTCGAACTGCCAGACATTGAAATTTGTTACTATAATTCAAATTTTAAATAAAAAACACCGACGGGAAGTTTCACAAATTTTCATTTGTTGTTACTAATTCATAAAATTCTTAAGGAAAAACTACATGAGACTTATTGATTTCTTTCACATGGACGTGTATTTAGGACGAAACTCCAACCTATTAATAGCGTACGATTAAATTTAAAAATACTAATATATAGATGATTTATCTAAAAACGTATAAATTCGTTTGCATTTTTCTACATATTTGTGATTTTTTTGCTAATACAAACCTGTCTCTCTATCTCTTTTGCCATTTTCAGATGTTGTTGCAGCTGTTCCATATCTATTTCCGTTCCAATTTTATAGGCATCAAAGAGTTCTAAAACAATTGAACAAAATAGGGGTGAAATGCCATTTGACCATTATCGGTTCATCTTACCTAATGCGCTTGGTGATATTAAATCTGTGCTATTTCGGGAACCTCGATCCTTAACCGAATTCTTTAGATGCTGCGCCCACGACGAGAGTTTAGCATATTTGCTATTGCTTAGAATCTCCTCCTTGTCGCTGATCAACTGCTGATACTTGTGCAGCTCGGCTTCTTCTCGTTTGCGATTCGAACTGCTGTCCGACTTGTCGTGCTTACCGTTACGTTTCGGGTGCAGTATTCGACTGGCAATGCTTGGTTTGGAATGTGAGATCTTCTGTATTTTCGTCGTCGTCGTTTTGTCGTTGTGATTAGTGGGCTTCTTCGTCGATCGGGAGTTCTGCTGACAGCGTTTGTACTCAATGGCCACCGGTGGCAATTGACGATCATCATAGGAAGATTTTTGGTATTTCGGTTTTCGACGAGTTTCTGAGGGATTCGACGACGATAACTGCTGTTCCATACTGGAGTCTTCTGTCGTCTGTTTGGGAGTATCTTCTTCGTTTTGTGTGGGCATTGGAATGTCAACAGCATTGTCATCTGCCAAATCGGGTAGGACAGTGCTTCGTCTGCGATTCTCCTCACTTTGCTTATTGAAGGCTTCTAAATATCTACTGGAGTCAATCTGATCCTTTACCTGGGACAATGCAGCATCAGATATCTGGAAATGTCGATGAGCACATGGGTAATTATGGGAAATCACAATTAATTATATTTATTTTGCCATTGCAATGACTGCAATGATTACCTTTTCTCCATCTTCCATTATGGTCAGTGTATTATCCTGAGTATCTACCAAACGTCGATAGCCACTAACAAGTAGTCCAAATTCTCTTTCAACCTCCTGACCAAAGTCTCCGATTATATCAACCGGCGTAAGACCGAATGACATTTCGTCTTTCATCTCAGCATGGCGAGTATTGAAGCCATGATGGCCTTGATGGTGGATGTCCACGGTTAGTGGTGGTTCCGATTGATGTAACGACTCCTTAATGCTATGGGGACTAACGCCTCTCAGCAGATCTGGTCTGTTTTCCTTTTTAAACTGTGTTTCCATCTGCTGATGGTGATGGTGATTCTTGATTAGAATATCTGGTGTTATCGAAACTGGCATCTGTTCCTTTTGCGTGGTATTATTGTGTTCCGCTTCCAGCAATGTTAACTTGCTTTGGACGCCATCCTGCAAGTCGGTCAGATTGAATGGATTATTGTCCGATTGATGACTGTTGCGGTTGCGGTTGGCCTCATCGTCATCATCAAACGATGGACGATGACCTTTGTCGCAATCAACTAAATAGAGATCGCCCTCCTCTTCGTGGATATAGTCGAAGTTTTCGTGACGATGATTCGGATATCCATCTGGATTCATGGTTATAGACTGTGTGGTATTATTATTAAAGTTGTTCAACTCTATCTGAGATCTGTCTTCGGTTAGACTATCGAAACTATCCGCACTCAAATCCATATCATATTCTGACATGTCACTCTCGAATGAATCCGATGGGGAACTTGTTACGAAATGTTCAGACAGCGTATGGGCCAAGTGCTGGAATCCCGGATAGTTGGGGTTTATAATGCCTCTGGGGAAAAAGGAATGTTTTTGGGTGTGCAAAGATATTGTTGACGACGATGCTGAGGTCACAAATTCTTCGTCTACAAATACAAAAAATACAAATTAGACTTTATAAACTGGGCAGGGGAGAGAAGATACACCCACCCACCTTTCTCATCACTGTCATAATTTGATTTAGTCTCACTGCACAAATCGATCATGGAATGATCATCATAGTCATTGTCATCGGGCAGCTGCAGGCAATCGTCTACCATACCTTGGCCGCCTTTAGGTGGTGTCCTACAACGGTTCTGTTGCTGTTCCAAATGTTCGCACTTCGTAACGCTATACTGGTTAAAGTCATTATCGAACGAGTTCTTACTACTGTACAGGGCACATTCGTTATTGCTATTTTGGTTTTCGTGTGAACTAATCACGTCGCCGGGACCAGTGTCGTTTACATGATCGGCAACATTTTTTAATAACTGAAAAGAACAAAACAAAAACAGGTAATCTATTTTCAAATAAGTGCCCTTAGAAGCGCAACCACATACATTAATATTTTCAAAGTCTCGAACACAATCCTCATAGAAGCTCTTGTTTGTGTTGAATATCTCCTTAAAGCTTTTATAGGTGTTGCCACTGGTATTGGCTTCTTTGTCATAGCATTCATCGATCGGATCTGATGACTGAAGACTCGACAGATTTTTCGGTATCTCGCCACAACAATAATGCGAGAGGTTGTCGTTTAAGCCGTGCGCTGCCGAATATTCGGTCGGGGTTGAGCTTAAAGCCTTCTGCACGAATTCATCTGCTGTGGAGGCGTAATTGGTGGTCGTCGGCTCCCGGTAATAATGTCCGGTTCCCGTTGGTGAAATATTTTCAAATTTGTTGTGCTCGTTTCCAAGTGCTGAAATTAGGGAGTTTGTGCTTGTGTTGTCTCTTTGGATGCCAATAGGATTGAATACGTTTGCAGCGTAACCAGCTGTTGCTGATATATCGGGAACTCGCATAACGGTTTAGTCTAAACGAAACAGGAAAATAAAATGTTAATAACAAAATGATTTCTCCTACAAAAAAACTACAATCTGTGCTTAAAATCATGTTTTTTTTAATTGCAGTTATATATTAATGCTGAAATATTTAAATTGGATACACACTACATCAGAGATAACGTGAAAACCATTACTAAATAAGCATATTTCAATAGTGAAGTGTAACAAAAATCGATTGTCCTTAGGGTTTTTATACCCTCCACCATAAGGTGAAGTGTACAGATTTTTGTAATACCTTGGTATTTATCAGAACACACATAAAGTACAATTACAGTATTGAATATCAACAAATTTATGTTTATGAGCGGGTCTTGTTGCTATTTTTGCTTCTAAAGTTTCGGCGGATATAAGCTTATTAATAATTGAATTCTTTGAATACAAATTTTAGCAAATTTAAATGCACATAGATGTTTGATTCTCGGATTTAATTAAATGTTTACCAATATATTTATAAGACTTCCATATCACGTAGCGCAATAGCGCTTTTTGTACCCACCACGATTTAATACAAATAGCCCCTATATAACGGTATCCCTTATATTATTATTATTATTATTTTAATCTAGGTCATGGATCTTAGAATCAGAACTCTATTCCGAATGTCGTCTGATTTTCATCATTGTATTTTTCCCAAAATTTATATCCATTTTATGGAAAATGTGTACATACAATGATCGCGTGTACTACTACTTCTCAAATATTTTCTGTAATCTCACAAAAAAGTTCCTATACAATGTCAATCTATTTGAAAGAAATTAAGTATATTCAAAATTTTCAATAATTAACAAATGAAGGTTCAAAGAAATGATACGCTACCAATTCAATCCCAAAATATCTCAAAATAACAACTACGACGTGGTGCAATTAAAATAGCTCGATACTTAATTCGTGGAAATGCAAATACGCTTCGTAATATTTTTTGCAAAATTTTTCACAGTTTTCGATTTTTCAAACCTTCCCTAGACTTCCACGAACATTTCAAGACTAAGATAAGATAAACCCGTTAAGCCGTTCTCGAGTTTTAGCGAGACAAACGAACCATAGTGTGCTATGTCGACTTAGCATGTTTTAAAGTTCTTCACGTTTTTAGATACTACGGTCCTTAATTTAAATTCACTGAAATTTTGGTAATCATCGGCCAATTCAAACCCAAGTTATAAGCAAAAATCTACTTAGCATGGCACGTACGATTAAAGAAACTTCCATACTTTGAAAGCTTCTACTGAAAAACTCACTTTTCAGACTTAGCATACTATGGTTCGGAGGCGTCGATATATGTACATATGTATAGATGAACCTATAACTTCTAAAGAATATCTCATTAAAATTGCAAATGAAAATCACAACAAATCTTGAAGATATAGCCGATTTATTGTGTAAGCGACAGGTGGCAGCGAGAGTGATTCTCAAACTTTAAATGGGTCTTTCTCGAAACAGCGTTTTTACAATTGCCGGGCACGATAACTTAAAAACTAATAATCTAATCGGTTTCAAAATTTAACAAGTTATCCTGGACCTACATAGCTATTCTATGAACTAGGATAAACCAATCCGTAAAGATCTTTCCTATTTTCCAACAAAAATAATTTTCCCAGGTTTGCCATTTTGCTAATTTTCGAGCGAAGTCAATAATCCTAGTTCATACCAGAGCCAGGCGTATAGTATTTAATTTGCGTTGGAATTTGGAATTTTGAGATTCGGGTGTTCCAGTGATCGAAAAACAAGCGCGCCGTCGAAAAGAATGGCATTTCTTTAATTACAAAAAAGAACAACAACATTTTGTTAATGTTTTTCTTCCCCTTCAAGTCATCAAATACAATAGTTGACAAGTCTTTAACATAATGTATGTACATTTGCCAGCCCATTGAAACTGAGGCCCTGGATGGCGTCCTATTAAGAAGATGTTTTATTCTCGGTTTCAACAAAGACATTAAAGTATGTACAAAATGTCTATTCCAGAACCTGCAGGAAGTCAACTGCCAATTAGAATTGCATTTTTTCCAACTTTTTTATCGTCCAAATTTGTAGAACAAAAAGTTTAAAAAGAGAAATTCGTTTTTGTTTGCCTTATGTAGTAGCTGTAGTTAATATATATGTCTACATCTCTAACTTATTTCCACTCTGTCACCAGGGAATCGTTCGTTTTTAGTCCCTTTAAAGTTTTTAAACTTTCAGTTCGGAAATACACAAGAAAATGGGCGTTGTGCAACAGATAGCACTGGCCTAAATGAACCTAACAATAATGATAACAATTTAAAAGTCCTTGTAATGTTCCATAGGTTTTATCCAACCACATACCAAGTGAAACATATTAAAAATATGGGAGTTCCTCAGTGCCGCTGGGCATTTTAATGGATAATTACAATATGAGCGAATAATTATTTTTTTGCGAATGATGAATGTTCTAGCCCCGCTACTTATGACATCACTGTTTTTCTGCATATATATGTATGTATATATATATATATGTTTGTAGTTACAACTCAAGTCGTTGGCAAAACAGTAAATGTGGGACACTATTTCTATGGGTGCATTAAAAAAATCGTTTAAACTTCTTCCGACAATGAGCACTTTCACCACTTGATGGATATATGTAGATATATATGTACGCATGTATTAAGAGTTTTTCCATTCAATGGTTAATTGTTCGATGTAAATTGATGTCAATACTGCTCGATTGATTTTTCACATAAATATACATGTTTTAACATACATTAGTTAGTTATGAATATTGTTGTTGTTGGTGATCCATTTGTTAACTTTCACATTAAATACAGGCACAATTTTGTAACGAGTTTGTTATCCTTGAAAGAAGTTGTCGAATTCGCAGCGATGATACATTGATTTTTTTATTTTCATTTCTTTATCGTAAATACGACGACTTGTCTACTCTTTGTGGCGACTGCGCTTTCCATTTTCACCACATTTGCGAATCTCAAAACTGTTTCGAAGCACAGAACCACTATGGAGAGAGGGAGAGTGAGAAATAAAATCTGAATTTTGAAAACAGTTTAAAAATCAAAATATCTTTAAGAGGAATATGCGGACGGCTAATGACAATGGTCAGCAAGCCAGCCAACTAGCCAGTTGGTTCGTTCACAGGTAATTGCAATAGATTCTTCTCAATAAACACCGACGTGATTATGCTCTGGTTTGGCACAGTTGATTGAACTCATCGCGAAACATTTTTTCACTACACTTTTTCTTTCGAAATTCTATTTTTACCAAGTATATCGGTGCGAATGGTTGTTGGCAGAATTGTTTGTTAGTTGGTATGTGTGTATGTCATACATACACACAGCAGCATATATATCACATTTGTTACATATATAAATATTTATATGTGCATTCAAATGGTAAATGTTTTTATTATTTTTGTTTTATTTTTTTAACACCAAGTAAATGTTTAAGACAATATGAAAACAAATCAACAAATTTGCATATATTTTGATATTTGAAACAAAAATATTACACGAAATAGAAAAATCGATAGCACAACTTCACTTAAAATGCCACCGAAGAACGTACAACCGAACGAACCACTTTGCTATTGAGAAATTATTCCACCCCTTTGGAGACTGGCATACAGTCACCCTAGGCGATGGCAACCACCAACACAACCACCGTATACAAGCAATTATTTTTTTCCCTTTCGTCACACGCACATCACGTCCCATACATAAAGCTCGGTCCTTCAGACACCCATTAGAACATTTGTGTTTGGAACAACTGGATAATGGATCCACATTCAATTTGGGAGAATCCAATTATTTACATGATTTTTACCTAAATTGTCACTGGATTTTGGATATTCTTGTCGAGTCGTTTTCCCCTCACAGTACACAGCAATGAAGGAAATCTCTATTTATTTGGAGAACGAGAGAAAATATATGTTTTCCAACTTTTTTTTTTTTTGAATTGCTAACAGGACGTTTCCGTTACGCGTTATTGAAACTATCGACTTGAATGCGATGACCACCGTGCCGCGACGAATCTACTGTAACTGATTTCGATGTATAGCCGCCTTACTTTAGGGGTTTGTTTGACATTTGGCAGTGCGCATGACTGCTGGAATGACGTCTGGTGCATACCACGTGAAGGTGACGGACAGTTACAGCTGTTCGGTTAGCCGGTGTCTTGTTTATATTTTTTCCCGAAGGTTTTCTTTATAAACATAGAGGGAGAACGAGAGTAAAGAGAACATCTCGGCCAATATGCCAGAGGTATCACTTCCGACTGTCAGAAGATAGCATCAAGGATGTTGTATATAGTAGTGATTCTGTTAACCCATTTACGATGATTGTTTGTCCCAGCATAACTCCCACATAACAAAATCCATAGAGTTTGGGTATTTTAATTTAACGAATTTATTTATAAAATCAAATAAATAAATTATGTAGCGCCATCTATTTATGTATAGTATAAACATGACAAACAAATAGAGTAGGTTCAGCTAATAATGTAGGTGTTTACTTTGGAACAGTAGATTTTTTATTAAACTTAATTGGATGAAATTTGGAACAGCTCATTAATTTGGACAAGGATCTTGTATATAGGAGTACTTTCGTATGTACCCAAAATGGCGAACTTTCGAACTTTCCTTACTGGTTATGTTTAAAATTTCTTTAAAAAATTGTTGCAAAATTTTAGGAATTATTGGCATGGTTTTATACCAAGTTGACTGTAATTTGGAATTCTGGGTAACACATATTCCCTGTTTACGATAGCCCTCATATACAACTCTACCATCTACATTGAATATTTTGGGGAAATTTCGTTCTTATTAAGTGTCAAATTGTACTATTATTAAAATCAATAAAAAAAGTTGATAAACGTATAATACATAAAAACCATCAACTGCATAAATTAGGATATTGTAAAGCATTATAAACCCATATTCTCGGCACAACTCAAAATATATTATCACATTTCAAAGAAATTATCAACAAATTGATTTATTTTCAAAACGAAATATTTTG